AAAACTCCGAATTGGAAATTATATTCTAATCTACATATGCAAAATTACCATATTAGGAAAATGTTATCAACATTTTGTATGACATTTTGTAGTTGTATACTCCTACCCTCCAAACATTATTATAATATATATGCCTCATATCATGATAATCAGATAATATTGTTTTTATTCCAACAGAGGGGAACAATAGCTCATGAGATTGGTCATGCAATTGGTTTCTGGCATGAACAAAGTAGATCTGATAGAGACGATTATGTAATTATTCACAGTGAGAACATACAATCCGGGAAGGAACATAATTTTCGTAAATACACTTCAGCAACTATCAACTCTTATGGTGTGGCTTATGATCCGGGATCACTTATGCATTATGGGACACACGTATGTATTTTACACTGTGATATGTTCACTTAAATGTGACTAAGTAGTTTAATAGATTTGTGTACAGTACAAGCTTAAAACTTCAAAATTATCCGAGCAGACAAAACCAAAATCAACAAAATTAATTGTGTCCAACCGTCATAATTACTATATTAATTATATTTGACTGTTGTAAGCAGCACAGAAATGATCATAACTAAAATAATCAGTAAACTGTTTTAGGAATTATAGTTAAACTACTATAATGAAAATGAATGTATAGTACATCTCGTCTACATTTTACGCCCTCTAATGACGAATGCCTTCTAAGATGTCGGTTTTCGTTTGGTCGGTAGTAGCACATCAATAATTTTACTCCACCTATTGATATTAATAGTTTATGATTGCAACGAGTATTACTGTGCGTCTGTTAATCAATTCGAGAAATATATACCATGTAAGACACTTATAATATTCACACATTTGTTTTCAAACAATTTATTTTAGTATTTCAGCAAAAATGGTCAACCAACCATCAGCGCGAAGAACCCTGCCGATCAAGCTAAGATTGGTCAGCGTAATTATCTGAGTGCCGCTGATATTGAACTTGCCAATATAATTTACAATTGCCCTGCAGGAGTAAACAGTAAGTATATTGGATATCCTATGGCTGATCGTTTTTATGTGCCAATGTATATGGTAAATGTATAGCAATGGTGATTAAATACGTTTGTCTTGTCTATCTTGTATACCTAAATAACAATACTCTAGGGTATTTTATTGAAAAATCATAGCGAGTTTTCATGTATACATGTGTTCATTACATTACGTTCAGAAATTTATGGTATTGGAACCGATAGAAAAATATACAGTAGAGACGATATTCAGGGAACTTGGTCTGGTCCAGCACCGAACAGCTGCTGTATAATTGCAATGACTGTTCTACACGATGGCACTATCGTAGGTGTTGGTACATCCAATCGATTGTGGACAAAGAGCAGTCTAGATGCGACTTAGCAAGGTCCTGTAGCAAATAGTGGTTCAGTGATGGATGTTACTGTAATGCCTGATGGTACAATCGTTGGTATTGGTATGAACAACCTTTTGTATACTCGTCCTGGTGTTCAGGGATTATGGTCTGGCCCTGTTGCAAATAGTGGATCCGTAAAGTCCATATCGGTGCTACCAAATGGAAGTATATTAGGTGTTGGAATGAATGGCAAATTATATGAAAGACCTGGTATACAAGGAGTATGGACAAATGTGGATGGTAATGGTATAGTGTCTGATATATCCGTTAACAAAGATGGTGCAGTAATTGGCATTGGAACCACATGTGGTTTGTGGGAGAGACCTTCTTATACATCGTATTGGCAAGGTGAGATTGCAAGTAGCCGATGTGTTACTTCTGTGTCGTTTGTAGAGAAAGGTGAGTTTTGTTTACATTGTTTATATCTATCAGATAAATACTATTACATTGACACTATCATTGTGTGATTTTAAATGAAACATTTAATTTGTTTTGAAATGTTACATGTATGTTATATTATATGTAACTAAGTCAATTTGTGTTGTATATTCAGAATATGCCCAACATAATTGTTGTGACTTGCGAACAGTATACATCACAATTAACATGAATGCATGTTTAAAGTCTATTTCATTAAATGTGTTTGTTTTGCAATAACATTAATTTGAGATACATAGTACCCCTTCATGATTCTGAATAAGCATGAAAAAACAGAATAGCAACATACGTATTTGTAACTATTGCATAACAAAGTACACCGAAATTGTATAGATTGGTTTTACGATACCATTGGCAATACTGTGACGCATATATGTTGCTTCACGCACTGAATAACGTTCTGTGATTACGTCAGTTTGTTTTTAATGAGAAACGAGTAATCGCGTCTTATTATGTGAGGAGTACATTTGCGTTTCTCAGCAGTTAGATAAAGATATAATTACGAGATCATTAATTTGGGCTGAGGACCG